GGAACACGCATAATTTGATATTTTAATTTTGACATTTCAAAACTTTTTAACACTCACCGATAAAAACTTTAAATGAAAAACAATAAATACACATGTATTCGCACTGATCAATCTGAATAAATACTTCCATACTCATCGGCCTTATGTGCAAAGAAATCAAGAACAAACCCATTACGTGACAATTCCGCTACGCTACTCATGGGTAAACTTAAATACTGATTGATTCTCATTCAACTAATTACGCTGTACCGTATAATGAAGAAAAATTGATGCTTGGAATTTATGTGATTCACTCAGTTTAATGAGCCTGTAATAAAAATATGTAGTATCACGGACAAAACACCCGATTGGCAGAATTCTAAAAGCCCTTAGACATCAGACAAACATAGAATCAAAAACAAGTAATGAACAATGAATAAGTGTCTGTCCGTTCTACAAGAGGTTGGTTGTGTTTCGATTAACGTAATAGTCATTGCTTGTGCCGCCAATTTGAGTGATCTGAGTTTCGATCACCCAACAAGTAACGGTTCCTTCAGGATAGTTATCACATCTTACAGCATACTATCAACCACCATGAAACATGAGTTTCGGCCGTTTGGCCGACAGTCATCGAACACAGAACAGTGCTAAAATGAATTCATGTATCACCATATTAACACCAAAAATAAGGATGGATCGGAATCCTCATCCTACTCACGTAGACAATATACATAAAACGCAACAATCAGTCGATTCTACAAGAACCGGGACTATGCAAGGCAGTTCCATATTTTGATAAACTGTGAAAGTGAAGACCAAATGGTTCTGTATGAAAAGGACCAGTAAACTCGTCTGAAACTAGGTAGTTAGTTGTTGCGGTGTTCATTTATATCTGAAGCAAGAACTTCCTTTGAATCAACCGACAAAGTATTTGTTTTCACTTAAATTCTCTGTTTACAAAAGTGGAAATCTTTAGTAAAATGAAAATTTCATTCATCTTTATTCTATGTGGGTGGATGATTGTCGGTCATTTAAACAGATACGCATAGTTCGAAAGCGATATTCTTTCATTTAAACAAAGAATTATATTTTATCAACACCACAACAAAATATACTTCATTCTGTTTTTAAATAGATAAGAATGTGGTTGTAGACAATAATAAGATATGATCTGTGATATCTCTACAAACCACCGGGGTCAACAGACAGATATTTGAAAACCAAAACTTTCAAACAATTTTATTATGATTATTTTTTTAAAAAATAATTTTGAAATGAAGAAACATAATAAATTTACGCAATACAAACATTTATAATTGAGGTTTTGTACCGATCACTGTTTGACCACCATTGAAAACCTGGAAGTACCAGACAGCTGTCCCCTCCGAGTATGCGACTCCTCAACAGTGTGTATTTACGATACTGCACGTCACATTCTGAACCAGGACCGTCGCAATTACAAGTCAGCAGTCTACTAATAAGACAAAATCTCTTCATCAAAAGTGATATGTTCCTGTCGAACAATGTTGTGTTCTAAATGACTAGAATGAATTAACGCAGATTTGAATGGTATAGAGAAACAAGGCGGAATACTTAGATCAATCTAAATCATGACATGCGTAATTCTGTCAATACCAAGACAAGTTATTATGTGTGAATTTTTATCACGTTATTTTGTGTGTGTTGTTAATTTTGTAGAACGCGGAATTAGCAATATGAAGGGGGAAAACGACTCGACGTTTCAGCCAGAATATTTTTTTAGACAAACTGGAAGCCTATGTGGAGCGTCAACAGAAGCGGTGTTGACAATCTTAATGAAGAATCACGCATTCCCTCACTCAGAAAATGTGTTTGTTTCGGTGAACTACAATTAACACACACCTATGAAGTCATTCATGTCATCCATGAATTTAACTTTATTGGTTTAGCTGTGTTGCGTTTGCCTTATCATGGTTTAACGAATATGAAGCTCTGTTCTATATTGATCTCTGCAGAGTGAGTGACGTTTCAGAAGTCAAAATACTTCTAAGAAAACCAGGGACGAATGAACATGAACGCTACAGGAACTACATTCTGCCAAGGAACACATAGGGCCTCAGTTCTGATGAAACGATTAAAACACTCTCTCAATTATTTGGAGAACTGCCATCTGTTTTAACATGCGTTAACAATGCATAAATACAATGAAAACACCAAGAGATCACTGTATGGGTAATGAAGGAAGGGTGAACCGAGAATGTGAGAGCTTCAAGTTGTCTTCCATGTTAGAAGACCATTTCAAATGCCGTGTATTTGTCTGTAGCTTACATTCATCCGAGGATGTTGATATTTGAACGAAAATACCTAGCAAAATTGAAAATTGTCCAAGCATTAACCTACAAAACGTAACTTCCAAATGTAAAACATTAGTGAGTTTGAAACAAGATACCTTGACGGTATGGGACGTTGGCCGGTTTCCTTACGTTAACACAGTCTAGAGAAGTCTTACAAGTTTCTAGTCCACAAATTATCCTAACGACAGTGATAAGCCACCATCCGAATGCCGGCTTTTGGTGGTTGTTTGTTTAAAAATCATTGATGTACCACACGTTCCATAAACACTCAAAAACTTATCCCATCATGCTTCTAAAACGATGAAATGCGAAAATAAACCGCATCTAGGTTAACCAAAAGCCAACGGAAAGATCATAAGCAGTGGTAGGCAACGAAAACGATAGAGAATAAGGCAATGGCAGTAGATTGTACTGGAAAAATTTCAGAATAATAAAAGAAACCGGTCTTCAGACAATCTACGTTCACCCACTTTTTGCGAACATCATGAATTGAACATTGAGATAGGCCTCTAACTCTGATTGGAGTTCGGAAAACCATAAATGATCTGACAGATGAAAGACTAACTACTATGAAGAAAAAAACTTCAGAGGTGGTTCATTTTCGGAGATTAGGTTGACCGATATTCTAGCTAAAATCTCGGACTTGGAAGTAATTCCATTTGGCTGGTCACAATCACTGATCGTCTCAACACATAAGAAAAGATCAAATTCATCTTGTGTTAACAATAGAGGGATTAGTTTAACCAATATATCATCTAAAATACTGGTCTCAATAATTATCGGATATCAAACAGACTCCTGGACTGAAAACTTGAGAATATCACGGTGACTCCTGTCTTCGTTGTCTTCGCATTAACCACATATCCACCATTCGTCAAATTTAAGAACACATACGTGCTTATCAGCGTCCGACTATTGTGGTCTTTCTTGAATTCAATTCGGCATTTGACTATGTAAAACGAGAGGTTCCATAGCAGTGTTTGACGCTGAAATGTGACCCTCAGAATTACGCAAACTTTTTGCAGCCCCATTACTCGAGCACTACCAGTCGAGTAAGAGCTTACGGTAAACTGTCATCTGAATTTGCAACATCAAGTGGTGTCCAACAAGGCTGTCAACTATCTTCATTTTGAGCAATTTCGTCAAACACGTACCGCAGGAAGTAAAGTTTTCGTCAACTGAATATTCGAGAGTAGATCTCACACTACTAGAACTTACATCACGTGGATGAAATTGTCTAGTTTGCTGAAGACGCTGATAAAATGCTGTCTTTCGGTAGCACTGAACAACAATGTCAGGATGTTTGGGATGCGTTTCTTCACCTCTTTAGAACTGGTTCACATCAACACCTGAAGTAAAGATAAGGAGTGTAGTAGTCAAACACCTTGACAATTCCATTACCTTGGAAGTCTGATCAACCCTGGCGTGTTGATGTTTGATCAAATCTATACACGAATTTAAAAAGCTCGTTTGGCTTTCGTCAACGCGCGTCACCCATGGTGAAGGCGAAATATCTGTGTATCGATTAAAGGACGAGTATACTGAGAGTTAGCCCGTTCTGTTCAAATGTATGACTATGAAACGTAGCCATTAGGAATAGAAGATGCCCTTAAGCTACTGGTATGTGATCGCAGATGTCTTGAAAATGTTGCTCACATCTGCTGGAATCATCGAGTAGGTATTCGTTGGGTCAGATGCAGGTCATTGGGGAATGATGGTAAATCAGTTGATGAGAATGTGAGTCTACATCAACTGAGATGTTTGGACCACGTATTACGCATGCACAAATACCAATTACCACTACCCACAATGCTCACTAGTGTTGAAGATGGATGGTAGAATATTGATAGCGGCCAAACCAAAATGTGGCATCAGTTCATAGTCACTAACCTATGACCTGAGTCACGTTAGTAGAGGCAGACTACTTGGTTTGGGTTCGCGCAACTATCGTAACTCGTTTTTGGAAACTCTAGATAACATGGCTCGGAACCTGTCACAGTGGTGCGGGTGTTTACACTCTTTGCTCTCTCTTAAACCTAGAGTTTAAATTTGCTTTAAACTTCTCCTTCTCTCAACAAACCTTTTTTACTGTGTCATATACTTATGTGCAATCCTTTTTATATATTATTTTCATTCCTACGCTTCTGAATGTCTTATTCTATCACCTAACACAATACAAAAGTCAATCATTCATTAGCTTCTGATAATTGTTTTAATATTGTCAACCAACGATATTCGTTATCATCAGAAGTTACTCTTGCTTCTAATTGCTTTCATTCGTACATACATATACAACTCTGTTAAATAGTATGAGTGTTATTCCGTTCTCTGGGATAGAGATATTTCATTGTCTTTATAGACAATGTATTAACAGTGTGAATAGATGTATTATTTCAAATGGTAATAAGAGTTTCACAGCCAAATTATCTAAAATTGAGAACAATACACAGTTATATTTAAATAAATCAAAGAGAAGGCGGACTTGATCTGAACTATTTAACTAATTCTATACAAATTTAACACTGACTTTTAATTGGAGCTCATTAGAAGTGTTTACATTTATGGTGTGATATTTATGAATACTTTCTGTCTTTTAAATTCTCATTAAATTTGAATATATATAAGTATTGCATTTGTTGACCATCTAAGTGAAGCTTTAAATAAGAACAAACCATCGTACGGAAATAAATGGTACGTCGTTATCTACTCATTGAAATGTCCATTTTCCTTTGATAATAGTTAAATGAATTTTGAATGTATCTTTCTTGTATAATGACTTAAATGTTGTGGTTATGATTAGTGTTATTATGATTGTCGTCATTAGGATTACTGTTGTTACTATTGGGGTTATTCAGGATAAAATTTTGATCTGAGTTTCTTGATTGACCGGATACCTCTACATTGACTGTAGCAACAAATTTGTGAATTAACTTAAAATGTAATCAAAATACAGAATGCTTCTATTCGATTCAAATAGTTCATGTTATTCTCATTGAAGCCAAGTAAACAATACTGAATTATTCTGTTATATCCATGTCGCTGTTAAACTATACTTGGAACAAATTAGGATACGCTGCAAGTCCGACGTTACGAAGTGAGAACATCACGCCTTTTACACGTGACAAATTACTAACTTCAAAACACGACGGCGAAGCTAGTCGAACATACACTCATTCACATATATTGATTCCGATTATTAGTTAGGATGAAATCACATGCATGGAAAACACACAAAATTATGATAAACCCCATGATCCATTTCATACTGAGCATAGTTTAGATACCAAATATCGAATATAATAATCACAGTGGTAACCAAACACAAATACCATACTGGATTATTATCACGGAAGTATTGTTAAGCGTCAATCACAATGAGTAAAGGAATGTTATTTTGCCTTTCTATCTCTTTATATCATTTTTAATAGGCTAATTCAAATCAGTCAGATATTTATCAAACTAATCAAAGTCAACTAGTAAGTGTAATGAAATACGATTTGTAAAACTTAATTATGCTAATAATAGCTGAATATCTAACAGGATGTTAAAATATTTTACAAAGTAACTGACTTTTATTTACACATTAGTATAAAATAATTCCTGTATACTATTGCTCAGGTCTACTGTTACTAATACAATCCACAATAGCATAACATCAAACGACTAGGAGTTGTATGACATTCACAAGAATACTCTGTTAACATGACGACACTGATCAGGGATTCTAAACACGATTTCATGGAGTTTTGTTTTCTGAGCTGGATGGTTTGTTCGTGGGGCGTTCATCATTCTTCTAAACGACATCATCAGCACAAACTTTTAACTCGTCTACAAATCTTCTCCACCATCTCAAACCACACACAAATGAAATCATGTAAAAGTTACGACTTAATTACTCATAGTGAATATCAAATTCATTGTGTAGTCAGTCGAAGAAAACTATCAAGTATATATGTCAGTGCATTTCTATGAGTAATATATTGCAATGTGAATGAAGCTTTTGAAGATTCTGAAGATTTTAAATAGAAAATTCACTAGACAAACTCTGTTTAATCACTCACCAAAGTGGAATGAATGTTTTAAACATCTAATGAATTTGACGGTTTGAGAGAAGATACTTTTCAGTAAGATGGACCAAATGAGTCGCAAGACGTCATAGCATATAACAAAACTGTTTCAAGCTAATGTTTTATTTCAGTAGACTTTGTCTATTTCAAATAATTTCGTCAGCGTCGAGTCAATGATAGCCTATATAATATTCTAATTATCACCCACTCCTTGACGTGTATTCGTGTCTTGTTCAAGGGTGATTCGAGAAGATAAGAGAATTTTATACTTGTAAGATCATCATTGGTTATTCTAACAATTAGTACTGATTATTAGGATGAAATCACATAAATGAAGAATACACAGAGTTGTGGTAAACCACGTGATCCATGTCATACCGAGCATTGTTAACGTTAGTGGTTTTTTCGCCAGTTAGATTTCTACGGGATGGGGACGCCAACCTCATGCCTCACCCTCCTTTTTTATCCAGGCTTGCAACCGGCAGTAGCCCCAGAGGTGCTCCAGGCGGAGTTGTCATACCGAGCATAGTTCAGATCAATTTTTAATACAAACATCCCACCCATTCAAAAAAATTATTCTCAAATCGAATATTATAATCACAGTGGTATCCAAACACAAATATCACAGTGAATAATCATCACGAAAGTACTGTTAACCGTCCATTACAATCAGTAATCTAACGCAATTTTATCTTTTGTATCTCTTTATATCATTTTCAATAGACCAATTCAAATCAATCGAATATTCATCAAACTAATAAAAGTCAACTAGTAAGTGTAATGAAATACGATTTGTAAAACCTCATTATATTAAAACTGGCGAAATATCTGTCAGAATTTTCATTTTTAATTAACCAAAAATTGCATGTGATCGAAACTTATTGAAGGTCAGATAACCTTGATTATAACATCTAAGACAATGTCAGTCATTCGATCGCGTCTAATTATGAAAAATCTAAAATAGATTTCTGCTGATAGAATAAATAGTGAAACGGTGTACAGATAAAAATAGATGGCTAAGTTCGACTATAGTTGATGAAAACATTCTATTGTTTTGTTCCTAATTATGATGGTAAACAAAGGAGTAACCGACATGTAAAGATGATCGCTCACAGTGGCAGTTAAAATCTCAATCTAAATCATAATTAAACGAATAATGACAGTTAAGTTATATTTACAATGGCTTGTGAATTTTTACATTGATATGTAACACAGTGTATTGTTCGTTAAGAGTGAAACCTATTTTCTTTTCTCCCTACTTGTAATCTAGGACATCGCAACTATTTTAACATTCCCCATAGATCATTGGCGCATTTTGTTAATACTCTTCGCAGTTTCTTTGATAAATAATCAAATCGTACAAGTGTTGAAGATTTGTTTCAAGTTTACTGTTAAAAAATGGTGCTTATCTAAACGGAGAACACTTCGAAATGCTGGCGAATGGGCAGTTGTCACTGGTGCATCATCAGGTATTGGTGAAGCGTATGCAGAGGAATTGGCCAAAGAGGGTCTCAACATCATGCTTATCAGTAATGATGAAGAACAACTATCAGACGTTGCTAATCGAATCGTGAATACCTACAATGTTCAAACACGAATTGTGGTTGCAGATTTTACAAAAGTAATATCCATTCTCAATTAATCTGTTAATCATATTACATTGAAATCATTGTCATTGAATTAAGTGATCAGTTTGATTTATCGGTCGGCAGTGTTTGAATAGATTGACAGGAGTTATGCATCACTAGTCGCTTTATTCATGAAGTGATGAATTGTTTTTCGAGTTATCACTGACACTTGAGTCATGTGATCATGTCAAAATGGTCATCAATCATGACATGTGTTTGAATGTAGAAACGCGATTGCAAACATTCTTTTCACGAAAAGTATTTCTGTGATTCACGTGCATGAGATATATCAGTTTCATATCAAAAACATTTCACTAATATTCCAAAACTGTTTAGTAGATTTCACAAACACCATGAATTCGAGGAGAGTATGTATGTATGCATCTGTTTGTGTGTGATTCTACGTTATCGCACAATCTCTCTAGTGCTCTATTTATTTTTAACTTACAAATTATTGTGAGGTGCTTGACTTGCAGTATCAATGTTTTTCCGTTTTCTCCCATCGAAATGGTGGAACGATGGTTTGTCACCAACTGTCTGTTTTGTTTCAAGTAGTGTGAAGAGAAAGATAATTACAGTTGACATAGACTGAGAGAATCATAGAGAGGCAGTTGATATGTATGCAATGATGATAATATGAGATAAATATCTGGACAAGTACTTTGCATTATAAGATAATTTTCGCAATCCTCGCCAATCACATCAGTTGCTAATGTCACCTACTCAACTGCTACATTCACACAATCAGTTACACCAAGTTGCGTTGCGTAATATCAACATTCGAATTTGACAGATTCACAGTGAATAATGAGAATAAAGAATGTTTTTGTGATTTTTGTGGTTGATTTGTTGAGACGTTTATCAGTTTGTGATTGGCTGTCGAATAATTTGGGACAACATAGAGATTTCAGTAAGAACATCAATGCGATGCATATGAATATTTAGTCAAATAGTTCAGTGTTGATGTGTTTGTATCTACAGAATTGGTTGACACTAACTTGAGCTTATGCAAAGTATGAGACTAATGACAGATTCACACTACAGTGGAATGAATGGTAGTTGAGGATGAGAATGGACTATTGTTATCTGTTGGTGATCACTCACCATGACCAATGTATCGTCATATAAGTGAGTAAAATATCCATTGATATAATCAGATTTCAGTTGGAAGTATTCATTCTGTGAGTATATATGACAAGAGAGACTGGTTGACTTTCAGTTAAATTTTATATTATAGACAACCGCGTACACAGAAATTGTAAATATCAATACACAGATCATGGCATACACTTGCAAACACGTAGATAGACAATGAAAATTTCACTGTAAATTTTACCAACAATGTTATCACAAAGTTTCTTCAATTTAATACCAAGGTATTCATACTCAATGCACCTAAACTAACGAACACTGATTGAATTTAAGTGATATAATAGAAACCGAAAAACACAGACACTTATCATCTAAATACTGTATATTATTTGGGCGAATGGCGGAATATTCACCATCCAAACGCACCAGAATATGTTGACATTTTTAAAATTTGATCGAGATATTCCAACACTAAAACAATTAGGAAACATTCGATTAATCAGCTTCCACCAATCTTGTATTCTCTTTTGTTTAGAATGATGTTTATGAAATAATAAGACCTGCTGTTGACCAATTGTCCACAATAGCTTGTTTAGTTAACAATGTTGGCATGGGATTACCCTTTGAGTTGTTTGCTGGAGAAGTCGATTCACCGAATGAAGAATCAATCAGAAATATCATTCGTTGTAACATTTTGTCTACAGTAATAATGACAAGCATCATTCTGCCGAAAATGTTAACACAGAAGGGACCTAATCCTGGTATCATAAACATTTCCTCCTATTCAGCTTTGAAAGTGTTTCCTTATGCTACAATGTACTCATCAACGAAAGCATTTATCATGCATTTCTCTAGATGTCTGGCTGCCGAAAAGTATCAAAAGAATGTTATTATACAAACGATTTGTCCACTACGTGTATCTACAAATATGACCAACTCAATGAAAACCACATTTTTCATTCCAACTGCTAAAGTCTATGCTAAAAATGCATTGGATATGTTTGGTGTTGAACAACAGACTACTGGTTATTTTCGACATGATATTAAAGCATATCTTTACGACTTATTACCTGCAATAATTTCTGAACAAATCATGAAACCAAAAGCCATTTCACAACAAAATAAAGCGTGATACATTGAACTGGATTCAGCAAATTATCTTCCTATTGTGTAATATTCTGTTGTTCATCATCATCTCAATATATAATCCAATTCAAACTAAACAGTAATTGATTTAACATCTCATTTTCGTTTGTTCTAAATAGTAAAACACGTATGTATTTGACAACATATTTAGTTCAATTATTCAGCATGGTATTCCTAAACTGTAATACTAGTTGCGACGTTAAATATGAATAAAGTTTATAAATCTGTGTTTAGAGCTTCTCAACTTCTGTCTTTATTCCGCTTGCCTGTTTGAGTTTCTGGGATACCATTTGTTGCTTACTCAATATTTCAACAAGTTATCTAGGCCCGTTTGTTTGTTTTAACACATTACTATGTCTGTAAATCGGTTGAGCCTAATCATGTGTATTTATGAAAAGTTTACAACCTTTCGATGTACAAGTTACAAAAATTTCCAGAGATAACTATGTCTCAAAGATCTTGTTTGCTGCCGATATGTAGCAAAAAGAATGTACATTATTTACATCTTGATTCCTCAAATGCTAAATTCTAACTGGTGACCATTCAATATTTATCGTTAGGATCGACCAAGAAGCTTGTTGAAATATTATGAACCGAGAATTCTAGATTGTTCCAGGAATATATTATTGAATAAAGCTAATAATAATAGTGCCGAAAATTCAGTTCACTCCGCTCACATTGGGTCAATCGGAAACTAGATCGACTTCATAAAACATAGATGTTTTGTGAATATCCCCAAGGTCAGAGAAAATTTGGGTTTTTCCCCAAAATTGTGATAAAATTCGGATTTTTCTTATTAAATGTAGGCGCACTTCCCAAAGTGTAATAAGATTCTGGGGTGAATTTTGAGGGTTTTGTGCTGTTTCCCCAAAGTTTACTATAGCTGCTTCCCCAAAATGGGTCAAATTTTCCCCATAATTAGGAGCTTGAGTCAGGATCAATGTTGATTACACATTCGCAGATGCTTATTATATAAAGTGAAATACAGATCTACAGAGACAGATATTCCTCTCTGGATTCTTTGATAATTATCAAAAGCGGTCTGACACCGATAGATTTTCAATTATCAATACATATGATTTAATCACGTTATGCCACAATTTCGGCATCTTTTATGTCTTGAATAAGCTTCGTGGTTATTGACTGATCTAATGATAGATTTGTCATATTCTAATCGCAGCACACGATCAGCTGAGGTTCAGGGACTTCAGGGTTCTTACAGATTATATATATATATGCAATATCACAAAGAAAACGACGTTATGATTAGAAAATAATTATGTGGCGATTGAATAATTAAAGTGTATCATGTTTATCACAAGACCAGTGTTTGATTTCACATGACTGTGTGTTTGCTCAATGCTTAGTGTTAGTACGCATCGAAACCACAGTTTTCGTTGTGACATTTGAAGACATTGAGATCAAAAGTTAATATAATGCTAGACTCATGATGTTAATTTTTCGATGTTTGCACAAATTTCAAAATGAAATTTCAGTAGGCTTGTAGCAAAATAAGAGCTTATGAAAACGTACACATTTTTTGAATCTGAGAAAAGTTTGACCAATCAAGATGCGTCTGTTGTTTACACTCACAATATTTTCAGAGTGTTTGTAGAGTTTCTAATCGTCTTCCATACAGTATAACTTCCGTAGAATAGATAACTGACTTAGGTTTTCTGTAAAGTATAGTTAATTTATGCGAAACTGAACAGTGATCTAAAACTATTAAACAATCAGCATATGTTTTAGGTGCATTGAGGTGTGAGCTAATTAGATCCACAGACTCGGCGAGCAGAACCATCACAGGAACGACTTCTTTAAAAGAGGGACGAGCGTGGTGTGAGCTACTTAAATCCACATCAGTAGTATATAACGACAGTCAGGAATAGAATTTATTTCAATAAAAGATGGATAAGGAAAGGGTAGAAACGGAAGGTATTTGGAATGAAAATGCAGGAACAATGAAATCTGAGACGATAGACTGATATTTAAAAATAGAACAGCCAAGTTTGAGACAATGGATTGATATTTACAAATGATGTATTTGGTTCTCAGATTTTGGTGAGATATTCTGTAATTTCATGTCGAAATACTTTCGATTGCCCCCACTTATGTTTTGTTCACTACAGTATGAATAGGATTTACACAGAAACAATCAACTACTAGAGTTAGAAACCTCATCTCATTCTCACTGTATTAAAAATTGTATTCTCACTAACCACTTCGGAAACGTGGTTCATGATCAGGAATATGGCTACAGGTTAGATATGACTATTTAAAAGATATTTAGCATGAATGTTTGGTTTTTGAAGGCAACGCATCTATCAAAATCAGCATGAGAGAAATCTCCAATGACATCAGAATATCATTCAATGCATCAAGTCTAATAATTAAGTTCTGAAGTTCATATCTATTTACTAACAACTCAGCGAACAAACTGTCACACTTACACCATTGAGTGAGTATCCAACAACTCACCTGTTATTGTGGAGCCAAATGAATTGGTCATTCGTTAAGTATTTTCTTGAGATTGGTGTATCATAGTCCAAAGATAAAATTTAAATTCCATTGCTTATGGTTTCACCATCGAGCACCGAATGACTAAAAGCATACGACGTTCAGCTTTTCTACCATGCTGTTCGTTTTTCAAAATATTATCTAACGAAAGTGATTGTCTAATTAATGGAAAAGAACTTGTAACGAATACTAGTAAGTTTTTTGAAAGAATTATAAATGAGGTGAAAATAGGTTTAAATATTCAGTGATAGCGTAGATTTTAGGAGTTTTACAAAAGGGTCGTAGGTGTAAGGCCAGCGATTGGCAGGGTAACAGACCCCCAACCCACCTAGATACTCAATAGTAGACCTTCATTTAGCCCATCTGGGAGCAGGAAAAATAAAATCACTTACTTTTCAGACATGTTGGAGGCCTAATATTGATGCTGAAGTATGTTGGAAGTCAAATTCTGTCCTGTTTGTTATGAATAAATTATCATACAACAAGACTACTTAAAATCACTGACCTGCATTTTATACATTTATTGATTTATTTATTTTAACACATAGATATTGGTACAAGGAGGCACCAAATACATATGCGCCACACAAATCGCAATTGATTTGTGTGAGGACTGTGATACTGCCCGGGTGCTCAAACCGAAGCAGGTGGTTTTCTTAGGGGTCCACACCCCGAGCCTTTGACCTGAACGTCTGATCAACAAGGCAGTGGAGCATCGTAAGGAGATGCAATCCCATGGTAGCCGGTGACCAACGACTGGTTCATACGTCATTTGTTCCTTCAGGATACTGGAGTCAGCCCATGTGCACCATTGGTTTGGGATCCGGTTAAAGCGCTGGACATTCGATTTTGGTCCTCTCATTTTCTTAAACAACACCCTCGCCACGAGAATGCAGTGAGTAGGACTTCCCTTTCAGAGGCTATTTACGTGTGGCCATGTGAGAGCATTTCAACAGGGAGAATGGACTATTCCCACTCTCGGCCATACCAGGGCATTTGGGGGCGCATCTTATACATAGTGCCGATAAATTCGTGCGCATTACTGTGGCTAATTCTTAAACTCCTGTTATGTTTTATTTACTGTTAACTGAAATTAAAATTGTTTAGAAGTGGTACTGACGAACATTCCTCGTGGAAAATTTACTAAAAGAGCGATGAATGATATATTCAGTCGTGATGATATACAAAATGCATTAGTAACTGGTAATGAAACCCGTTTAACAGAACAATATGCTAAAAGCTGGCTTAATGATATTGAATATTGTCACCTATTTACAGGTGCGAGAAATTCTTAGGTTAGTGGTTTAGAAAAATGTTTCGTTAGAACTTTAACAAGTGTTATCATGTGAGTGAGTCCAAGTAATCTGGAAGAGCTAGCATAATGGATCGATAGCATAATGCAGTACATTCAAGGAATTCCCAAAAGTTTAAGTAATTCTTCAAATCTAGCATATTTCGAACCCATTCAGAATGTAAAACATCATCGGCATTACATTTTCACCTTCAAAATATGATCACTGATCATTTACGAGTATGATAATTTAAAAGATGAATAGTCAGATGGTGAATGTTGTTGATTTAAATAACCATTCCATTGATACAAGAAAACATGCTGGTGAAGTATAAATTCATGAATTAGATGACTCTAATTTTAATTCTGATTATTCTTGAATAAACTGGACGGCCATATCGTCTTAATGTAGGGTCGATGATTCCGCACAAAGAACTTAAACCGAGGACCTCCAGCCTCGGGCGAAAGCTTAATTTGTAGACCGCTGGGCCGGCATCCAACAATGTTAAGATCTAACTTCAGTCGATCTATAACATACTAAAACAAAATGGTAATCCAATGGTAAAAGTTTTTAAGGGTTGTCTAAGAGTGTCCAACTCATAATCTCAATAAAAACTCCACAATCTTCACAACCCTAGACTGATGTATATGCGCCATACAAACCATTCAATTTTTGTGTGTGCTAGAATACTACACGGATGCTTTAATCAAAGCAGGTGGTTTTCTTTAAAGGCCTCACCCAAAGCCTTTGACCTAAACGTCTAATTCATAATGCAGTGAAGCAAAGTCACGAGATGCAATCCTATAGTAGCCAATGATCAACAACTGGTTTATACACCATTTATTTCTTCAATATCCTAAAGACCATATGCACCATTAGTTTGGAATCATGGTTTTTCAACTCTCCATATTCATCAATCCGGTTACAGAGCTTGATATTCGTTTTTCCTTCACTCATTTTCGTAAACAACATCTGCGTTGTAAAAAGCAATGAATAAGTTTTCCTGTATACCCGTAACCATGTCAGATGATTTCGAAAAGTACAGATGAATCCCTTCATCCTCTGCCATACCATGGCTTTTAAGGGTATTTATATATACCTAGTGATAATGTAGTCCATACGGAACATAAAAGGATGGTTCCTTTTTTAATTCGAAAAATTCTATATTTAAAAAACAACAACAACAAACTAAATCTCAACATTACAAACATCCAACAGAACTAAACAGATCTCATATCAATTAATCACCATAAAGTATCAGATATAATGAAATGAAAATAGATCTTGTTACAGTATCATTATACATATTTCTTACGTGCATGAACTCTAGCATATGTTAATAATATCCATAAAGATGTGGGTAATAAATCAAATAGATAAGCTTTATATTCATGTAATATATAACCAGTTGATTGTTGTACTACACCATACATATTCAATGCACTATTAACAAACAGTTTAGCAGATGGATTAAAATAAGATGGTTTTTCATTTTTAGTCATTGATGTATATATAGTTAATGGACATAATATTTGTATAATCACATTCTTTCTATACTTTTCAGCAGTTAAGCATTTACAGAATTGTATAATAAATGCTTTGGTTGATGAATATAATGTTAAATATGGAGTTGCTCTAAGTGCTGAATAGGAGGAAATATTAATGATACCAGGATTAGGTCCTTTCTGTATTAACATTTTCGGTAGAATGATGCTGGTCATCATTATTGCAGACAAAATGTTACAATGAATGATATTTTTAATAGATTGTTCATTTGGTGAACCGATTTCTCCAGTAAATAAATCTAATGGTAATCCCATACCAACATTATTCACTAAACATGCGATTGTAGATAATTGATTAATAGCAGGTCTTATTATATCATAAGCATCATTCTAAATAAAATGAGAAAGACATTGAAATGAAGGATTATGTAATACGGTTTCAGTTGGTCGGTTAATATGAATCAGTTAAAAATGTACTAGAGTTATTTACTTAATCCTCATGGAGGAGTATGGGCTACCTACAAGAATGATGCTTTGATAATCCTGGATTGGTAAGATTTCTATCCTACAAGTGCAATGCTGTGCATCTTTTGACAGTATTAGAGCAACATTCTAAGTGTAGGGAGTGTTTTCCTCTTCGTGATCGGAGTAAAAAAGCATCTCTTCTGTATCTAGCCTTTGCTGTTTACCTTAGGTCCAATGGGATTTTTTCAGATTCTTAATACTTCTAATTTATATCTTCTAATTTCTGTTGCTATTTGACTAGTTTTTTTAGTCTCCGAAATTGTCTGAACATTCCATGTACCTAAATAAATGGTTGTTCTGGTTGTCTGAGGAAACTTTACTTTCACCATGAGGCGTCATAACCTTCTAACTCTCAGGGCAGAGTTTAAATGGTTTGAGTTATTTTTTCTGGTTAGAATATTTTATAGCGAGTTAATTTACTACAGGATAAGGGTCGCTAAACCCATGCTCAATCCTTCTCCTTTAACCGGGTTTGGGACCGGCAGTAATTCTAGAAGGTCTATAGGCGGAGTGACAGGTCATATATATTACGTGTTATATATTATATCAACAAATATTTTATTCACTTACTTATATGAAGATACATTGGTCATGGTGAGTGATCATCAACAGATAACAGTAAATCATTCACATTCTCAACTATCATTTACACTAGTGCAGTATGTATCTGTCATTAGTCTCATACTATGTACAAATTCAAAGTAGTTTTGATCAATTCTGTAGATACAAACACATCAACACTGAACTATTTGACTAAATATTCATGTGCACCTCATTGATATTCTTACTTTAATCTCCCTGTTGTCTTAAAATAATCGACAGTGAACAACAAAATGATAAAAGTTTCAACAAATTAACCAAACAAATCACACAGCATTCTCTATACCCACACATTCGGTGTGAATTTGTATGTGAATACTAATGTTGGCATTATGCAGTGTAGTTTTATGTAACTGATTATATGATCGTAGTAAATGACCAGGTGACAGTCTGAAGTGAGACATTGGCAGGTGATGTGATTTATGAGGATGGCTGAAATTACCATAATAGTAATGGAAATACGCCTGTTATATCCAATGAAGCATAAGTCACCGACCAGCATTCCCCAATCCACTCTGTACTGGACCTTCCATTCTACTTCTATCTAATTGTTGTTCATTCTTCTCATATCTGTTTCCATTTCTCAGAGGAATGTGTTGTTTGATTTCTTTCTACTCCTTTTGCCTCCATGATTCCAAGTGATGAGGACTTGCCGTGTGAGGCAGTTAGGTGCTTTCCTCAGTGTGTGTACTATGCACTTCCAGCGCTTCTTCCTGATTTCTTTCTCCGCTGGGATCTGGTTTGTTCTCTTCCACAGTAGGTTGTTGCTGATAGTTCAGTGTTTGGTTAACGAATCTGAAGTATTTTTCATAAACAACTGTTAATAAACAATTGTATGTTCTGTGAGATGCCTCTCATAGTTCTCCAAGTTTCTACCCGATACAGCAGAACTGTCCTGACAATTGTATTGAAAATTCCAACTTTAGTGTTGTTTGACAGACAGTTGTTCTTCACTTGTATATATTCTGCTCTTGCTTGGTCGATTCAAGCTATCCCATATGCATCAGATTCACAGGTTGCAAGGTCATGGATACGCATTGTTGAGGAGTCCCATAAAAAGAAAGAAACGTCCGTCCAGTGCTTCCAGGTTTTCCATATCGGTCTAGTTTCAACTGACTCATGATCATAACAAAAGAAATATTGTTTCTTGTTCAATGAATGATGATATATGCGAAAAAGTTTCATGCGATTAATTCACTTCATGAATTGAAATGAAGCCAGAATGAACATGGATATACGATAATATGAATTCATTGTATTTTATAGTTTTAAATCAAGCTGCTCACAACCAAATACGTGTGAAATTTCACATTTAGGTAAGTTATAACGTAAAACATTTGGCATACGTGGATCAAATGAATTGAAATAACAAAGGTTATCAATTATCACTATATGTGTGTGTGTGCAAGAGCAGATCGGGTGGTGATAATCCTTTATTAGTGTAGATCGAATGCTATCGACTATGTTGTAAAATGGCCGCCAGTAGTAACGTCTCTGACTGTGAAGCTGGGGTGACACTAGATCGAATTCATCAAGGAATATTAGTTCCCTCAAGATTACAGGTACTCCTTGCTGACGACTTCCAATTAGCATGAAACCCGGGTTCAAGGTTTCCTGTCGACTACCTTCAACCATCATCTAAATACTACTTTTCATTGGTTTACCAAAGCAATTGCGAGTAAACAGAAAACTAAAACTTGATCTATATATTTATAAAGACACAGTAATAATTCAGTAACTACTCTGGTAAATCAACTTTTGGTGATTAGTTTTATTTTGTTAATGTTTAGTTTGTTAGGTTATTATTCCTCTGCTAAATTCTTATTTTATGTACATTTACCCCCACTTCTATTACTTATACATTTCCACTCACTCAATTCTCTTGAATTATGTGAACACATCAAATCTTTAGATGTTGGATAGCAGCACAAATCAAACTAATGGGAGACACAACCAAAACAAAGAAGTAAACAATGATAAATTTAAGGTCAATAAAAACAATCAACATCAAGGTGTAGAGAACAAGCTGTGAAACCCATATGGAGAAATTCGAACACTTTACTTCTATCTGAAGTTTGAGCTAATGATGTCGTTCAGAAGAAAGATGAAAGCTCCACAACCAAACCATCCAGCTCAGAGAACCAAATTCCATCAACATCAAATCTTGTATATTTATTCTGCAACCCATCTTACTAGTCATTCAGTCAGCTACAATGTAAGATCAGGCACATATATGCATCGGTCCAAGTTACCATACCTCATTAGCACAACAAGATGAACATCATATTTGTAGAAGTAGTTAGTTCAATGGCGATAATATATAAAGGAAAGATTGTATATAACGATACAGTACAGGAAAAAAGAATTATTTGGTAGAAAGAAGAAATATAAATCAATTTTAATCTCAAGGAAAGATAGAGTGTATACACCGACACAACCGTGATCAATTATGAGCCATGTCACCTCGAGTCTTCAACCATTGGTTACGATAGTCACGCGAAATTCAACCCATCCATCTTATCAGTTCTTTTGAATTCCAGGAATTTTATGCATACCATTCTTTACCTCTAACATTATTACATAATTCATCTTATTTATCTCTGAAATTCATTCAATTATTACATCACCAACCCTTCATGATTTGTTTCTTTGTTTCTAACACCAAACGACTTCCGATCTGCTCTTGCACACGCACACACATATAGTGATAATTGATAACCTTTGTTATTTCAATTCATTTGATTCACGTATGCCAATTGTTTTACGTTATAACTTACCTCAATGTAAACTTTTAACACGTATTTGGTTGTAAGCAGCAGATCAGAAACCACAATATGGCATGGAATATTAGCATTATTACATTTAATTAATTTAAACAAAGTTCATTAAGGCTTCGAAAAGTTCAGTAAAAGTTTATTGTTTCACAGCAACGTTCAAAAACAACATTGATGTTAGTCAACCTTCTTAGATTGTCTACTGATTGGAATGAAAGTATGTTCGACTAGTTTTACCCACAATGATGTTGGCATTAGATTGTATACAAATGCTTTTAACTCATGTGGAAAATAACCAGTAGTTTGTTGTTCAACACCAAACATATCCAATGCATGTTTAGCATAGACTTTAGCAGTTGGTGTGAAATATGTGGCTTCTCTTAAATCGGTCATATTTGTAGATACAAATAATGGATGCATCGTTTGTATGATCACATTCTTTCTATACTTCTCGGCAGCCAGACATCTAGAGAAATGCATGATAAATGCTTTCGTTGATGAGTACATTGGCAAGTAGGGTGTCACTGTAAAACCTGAATGGGAGGAAATGTTAATGATACCAGGATTAGGTCCCTTCTGTGTTAACATTTTCGGCAGAATGATGCTTGTCATTATTACTGTAGACAAAATGTTACAACGAATGATATTTCGGATTGATTCTTCATTCGGTGAATCGGCTTCTCCAGCAAACAATTCAAATGGTAACACCATACCAACATTGTTAACTAAACAAGCTATTGTGGACAATCGGTCAACAGCAGGTCTTATTATTTCATAAACATCATTCTAAACAAAAGAGAATACAAGATTGATGGAAGCTGATTAATCGAATGTTTCCTAAGTGTTTTAGTGCTCGAATATCTGGATTGAATTTCAAAAATGTCAGCATATTTCGATGTGTTGAATTGGTGAATTGTAGATGAATCTGAGACAAGTTCTCTACCTTGTTTCTCAATATCTAAAGCGATATCGACTGATTTTTTGAGACGGAACATCTTGCTATTTGTTCGACTAGTACATTATATTTCGATAATCAGCGTCTGTCTATTTCCGTTTCTTGTATTCTTGACTGAAATCTAGTCAGTGTTTATCAATATGTATGTAGAAGCCGCCCCGTTATTTTAACCCTTTATTACAAGTTTCAGAATTCTCTTGAAAAGAGATTGGTTAGATGAATTCATAAATATCATCAACGATCTAAATCCAATTTCCTACGATCACACAACGTGATGTTTAAGCAAATTGTTGTTGTTTCTGTACAACGCCATATCATTCGCAGCGCCATATAATGAATTCAAGTGTCAATGTAAACATCAACATTTGGATCCTGGTGCATTCAGTTAACGTGTTATACAATGAAACAGAGTGTGTATTTTAGATTTCGCTGAAAATTTACATATAAATACACTATAAATTTGTATACTAACACACAAATATTGTCCTGATGAAACACTATTTTGACGTTATTTTTATACCAGTAAGCTGGCAGTTTCGCTTTCAATCAGTCAGCCATTCAGCTGACCAGGCAAATATATGCATCGGTCCATGTTGCCATACCTCATTAAAAATGAATGCTCATTATTATGCTCATAAACGATGTGACAATATTAAGGCCATGTCGAAGCCATCCACACAGAATGTACATATACCAACAAGAGCGTGATCAATTAGAGTCCTAAACAAAAATCAAAAGATACAAGCAAACAAGACAAAGTGAATTTATGTCAGAAATGTGTTTGATGCAAAGTCAACAATGTATTTAAACCTCATAAATGGAACGAGAGTATGCCTGGCAAATAGTTAATTAACATTCGTATCTGCTTACTGAATGGATGACAATGGATGTCACGGTATTACTGCATTCAAGCACATGTCATAATTGATGACCATTTTGACATGATCACATGACTCAAGTCTCAGCAATAACTCGACAAACAATCCATCACTTCATGAATAAAGCGACTAGTGATGCATAACTCCTGTCAATCTATTCAAACACTACCGACCGATAAATCAAACTGATCACTTAATTCAATGACAATGATTTCAATGTAATATAATTAACAGATTAATTGAGAATGGATATTACTTTTGTAAAATCTGCAACCACAATTCGTGTTTGAACATTGTAGGTATTCGCGATTTGTTTAGCGACGAGTGACAGATTTCTTTCATCATTACTGATAAGCATGATGTTGAGACCCTCTTTGGCCAATTCCTCTGCATACGCTTCACCAATACCTGATGATGCACCAGTGACAACTGCCCATTCACCAGCCTGACGAAGTGTTTTCCGTTTAGAAAAACACCATATTCCAACAGTGTATTTCAAATAGATCAACAACAACTGTGAAAGTTTGAAACTGATCCAAGTAACGATGAGTGCAGTGAGCAAGAGTAACCGATTCTCTGTGATGAGTTCCACAAAAGACAACGTGCTCTAGATCACGAAAAGATCAAATGATTAGGTGAAATACTGAGATGAACAAAGCGTTCAAATAAATTATGGCGATGTGATTTGTATGCAAATATCATTTGTATTCGAATGTGAATATCGGTCGCAACGTGAATGCAGTATTCACTGTTCACTGGATATCGGATCGATCAGACTTCTCTGACACTTGCCTATTGACGATTCCGTTAAGACTTAACTCAATACAGTAGACCTAGTATAGTTGGCAAGTTTGACGGATTTCGAATAACGTCTGTCATCAGTTGTCTATACTGGTAAACATTTGACCGAACTTCCAAGTACTCGAGATATTTTTAATCACTACCCCTGTCACAAATCTTATATCTCAGGTATTCTCACTTCCAATGACTCATGAACAATTACACTGTACTAGATGGTGATGACTCTTTTGGGATTTGTTTGCACAACGGAGGAAACGATGTTCAACCAAACTGGCACTAATGTTGACGATGTATGATTCCCTAACATTATGTGAAAACAGGTTGCCAAGTACGTGAGAACCGTTATGATCTGAAATTTCATCAATATGATGTTTCACATTTAGTAGGATTTCATTAGTTTGAATCACTTTTCACTATATAACTTAATATTTATTATGTCACAGATATCGGTTTACAGTTCGATGAAGGTGGGAATGATGGATTATTATTTTCATGAATATTATCTTCGTGATTAATTTACCCTCACTTCAGTAAAAATACGCATATCAAGTTGGCTCAAATAAATCCTCTCACATTGTTTTTTAAATGGTTCCAAGTTTTATCAAGGTTTTGCATGCGTTGAAACTCTGTAGGTACGGGAGGCCGTTTCCAGTTGGTATGAAGCTCATGCACATTGCTCATTCACGAACACACATCCGAGAATCGAACTCAGAAAACTCGGTCTTGGAAACAATAGCTGAACGTCCTAATCAACGAGTCAGCATTCAATGGTGTATAAACCTGATCTTAAACAATCCGTGGTATTATGTGGCAGTTACAAAATGGCTTTCAACACAACATCCCACACTGTTGAACTATTCCTATCAAATCCAACTCGATATTTCAAGTCAATGTCTGGTGAACTTTCATTTTCAAAGCTGAGTGGATTGGTCATGAATCTTAACTAACATCAATAATACAAATGTATAATATCAAACGTGAATAAACAATATTCAAACATCAGCAAGGGTTTTTGTGCATGTCATAGTTATTTCAATAGTTGAGATCATGTGTATGTCGCTCAATTTCGTGGATTAGTTGAACTTAAACACTATCACCATTGGATGCCATCTTAGTTGTTTAAAAGTTAAGTGTTCGTCTTCGAGACTGACAGGTCCAGGGTTCAAATCACGCGAGGCAGTATTGTGGATACTTACTACTGAGGAATCCCATGTTAGAACCAAACGGCCATTCAGTGCTTCCGGCATTTCCATGCTGATCTAGCTTCAATTGACTCATGATCTCAACTATTGAAATATTCATTAAATGAATAATCAACAATGATTCACGTACCATTTTCTTCTCGATAATGTATATGTGTGCAAATGATGTTGTTAACCATGTCACCAGTTATATACTCAATACAGAAACAGACATGAATTGTCGAAAATCACGATTGGTGACTTCAACATTGGATCGATAATAAGTGTCACTATACATGTTTTGAAGTACATGTTTTATTCGCTGTTTAATATTCCAGTAATTGCATATGGTACATTGTAAATTATCATGTGTAATGTGTTAAAGGGTTAATGGTTTATTGCAGAATTCAAATTCGTTGGTTAAACTCAATCTCATATAGTTCAAATGATTATCATTATTTCAATTATGACCACTGGACGTGTGTGTGTGCACGCGTATGTATCATGAGTGTATCTCGAATTATTTTATAAATTAATTATTTTCAAGAATTAGACAGAAATCATTAAATTTGAACACTGTACGTAACCTATCCAGGATGGGATAGAATTACGTTCGTTTATTTACTTGGTAATTCTTTTAAATTTTTCTTCAACTTATTCCCAATCTTCCTATTTTGGTGTTGTCTTCAAAGTCATGGGAATTATGATAGCTTTCTTCGAAGTTTGAGGACATTTTGTGGAAAAGAGCCAATTTGTTAGAAGTTTCTGGGAAATTATTGAAGATTTCTTTAAATTTTTGTGGATTTTCGTCAAACCTAGGGATATTTTGAGATTTTAGTGTCATTTCTTCAAACTTTCAACAACGTTTCTAATAGCAATGTAGTCTTCACTCCAGAAGGAATTCGATTAAACTTCATATACGCCTATTATCATTAATTCACGTCACGAACAGTCGACCTCTACTTTCAGATAGGCTTCGTTTAGATCTAGTTTTACAGAGCATCTTCCATCATTTCAGATAATAGAACGATCATCTGGAACGAGAAACACATGATGACATTGTTCTAGAGCATCATTATTCCAGTTGGAAAGTCTGCTAAGATTCATAATATACCACTTGGTTTCTTCATGACCATTATGAGAGTTGCTCAAGATGAAAATGAAACTGATAACAGAACATCATGTTTTCTAGATATTGGAGTTCTGCATCCCCATCTGGTAATGATGCATAAGCAACTGGTCTCTGTGGGCGGAACACTGGATTGTCATTTTCCTCAAGTAGAGATATACATTAGTTGTTGTGCAATGTCGTAAATCCTCTGCTAAACCGTCCTTAAATTGATTCATGATTTTTGTGATATATTGCTGTTCTTCATCTTTACTTACAATTCTGTTATATACGTTTCACAATGAAGTATCTTGAAGTTTGAAACCATCAAACCAGTCTAAACACAATAAATTTAGATTATCATCGGATATGTAACATATTTCACTTACAGTCACACCTTTAAGTGTTACTGGGCACTATAGAACCCTAATAAACTTTAGTTTATCACCTGCTGCGCTTACTGCAAACTGCCTTGTAGGCTCTAGTTCTTTTGGAAAGGATGATTGTGTCTCAAGTGGTCTCTAATTGTGATCTTATAAGATAGCCATTTATCAGAACTTTGATAAACTTCCTAACCGGCCTTCTATGTACTTGATTTACCGTGGATACAGGAAGAGATTGGAACGACTTCATATATGATCTGTACCTTCTTCAGAATTTTCATTCTCGGTGGTCATCTTGAGGTTTTTTTAATATGCCTCTTTATGTCTAACAGTATAACATTATCTATAGTAATGGGTTTTTAACGGACAAGACTTTGCATAATGTCAAGCAACACAATACCAACATCAGGAAAGGTAAACATGGGACTTTTGACTTGATGATTTTTCACGTAATGATATTGGGGTCTTGTAACCAGGACACACTTTAATTTGGACTACTTGAACGTCAAACCTATCTTGACCAACGAACTGAACTAGGTTGGTGTCGTGTTTGAGGTTCATTAGTCTTTGATATTCTTCAGAAACGTCCTTGAGTATTAACGCTGTGTCCTGATCACGATGAAATAACAGTCGTGTACGAATATCAGCAAACTTTTCAGATTGTAAGTTACAGTTTAACAATAATCATTTGAATTGATCCTCGGAAAGTGTTTTAATTTGAACCGCTCACACTCTCAATCTACTGTTTCAATGTGTGTAGAAAAATCGTCCTCTTCGTTCATTACTAACTTCGTGCATCGATAACTGATTAAAAATCAAAGACTGGTCACCAAACTGCTGACCAATCGGAATGATGGTTTCTGTAAAAGTGGGATCACGTTTATTATGAGGCAATACAATATTTCAGTACTTTCAAGTTCTGATGTTCCTAGTTTCCTTAAAAGAATAAGTAATTTCCAAGGATATTCTTGATCACTGAAATCAACATTAAATATATTTTTGTAGCGACGAGACCAGATTTCAAATGCTACATATGAAGATGGATCATAACTAAACTCAGTAATGTTAATGATGTACTTATCGAGTATAGTGACGAATAGGGAGGTTTTCTATGTTCAATTCTTAGTGATTTATGTAATAGATAATATCGTGATCAGTTTGAACTGTTGTTCCAGTAGGTAATTAAGCTTATCAGCAACAATCTTAACAGCCATTCTCGTAGCCAATTGTTGTGTCTTCCTATTGGGTTAGGTGAAGCCTAAGATGTTACGAATTAAGGAACGAAAACCATTGAGCTTCTCTAGTACGATCACTTCTCTTCGAAACTGACAACAGCCAATTATAACCAACACATCAAACTTCCACCGACAAGACAGAAAGAAGACAGAATTGTGAGTAACTCCGTATTTGTGGTAGAACAAGCAACTCAAACGAAATTGGTACAGATGTCTTCACTGTGGTAGTAGAATGTGACCTTCGGACATGTGAGAGTTTATCTGACGAGAAACCATGACAACCAATCACAGTGAAAAGGTCATGTGACGAATCAAATTTGTAGAAAATGTGCAAGTGTCTATCGTTCATGAAGAGATTCTAACCCTTCTAATAAAATATAGCCGTTCTTGTAACCGTCTCAGTACGCATATTTATATTTATGAAAACATCTAGAATTGTTATTTGCCCGATTACTTTGTTTCTGTTTAAACTGGTCAGTAGCAAGTATCTTGCCTAAATTTGACAAGATTTATTAACAACAAAATCATAATTAATGTTGCAAAACGACATTATATGTCCACCTCAGGTTCTACGATACGACAAGTGCAAACGGTTTAGGCGTTCTAAACGCTCATTGTAAGGGAGTTTAGAAAACCGTTCATTAATTTCCTTCCAATACTTGAACACACTCATGTGATTTAGTATCTTTAATCAGACATGAGCTAGCTGCTTGAATACAACACTATAAGTTAGTCTTACATAGGTGGGATACAAAATTCGAAACACCTCCTTGTCAAAGCATTGGAATGCGCTGCGAAGCGACTATAACGCACGATAACCTTTGGCAGCAGCTGCGTTGCAATTCATGACTTACTATTACTCATAGGTCTTTATGTCCTTGAACTCATAGTAGAGATGCACCATCAATAATACAATAATAAAAATGGGCACACTCTTCCTAGAATTAAATTCCAAGCCTCAACGTCGAGCCCATCTGACTAATTCGTCTAATTCATTTGGGAGATCAAAATGATCAACCTCACTTGTTATTGCTCTTCAGATTTCGACATCATACGCAAACAATAATGTCGACGACTTAAGCAGTAGCAGTAATCCATTAAGGTAGAGAAGGAAAATTAGGAGACCTAAGATGGTGCCTTGAGGTACATCACTTTTGACCATCTTTCATTCGGATAGCATTCCAGTGACCCTCACTCTGTCCATTCCTTTACAACACCAGTTATTCTTAATCATGAAAGCTTCTGTATAAGACCCAAGTGTGAAACATTGTCAAACGCTTTGTTAAAGTCTATGAATATCACATTGACAGACAGACCCTTATCTAGTGCTGCTCTCCAATTCTCTCTCGCAATAGGTTAGTCAAGCATGAACGCTTGATACCGAACCCATGTTACTCGGGTGCCAGCAGATTGGGTGAATCTATGTGACTTAGTAACTTAACCCGAATTGTCTTTTCAAATAACTTAACGACTATGCTGAATAGACTGATAGGTCGGTAGTTAGATGCGATTTGCCACTGACCGTCCTTATATATAGGACTGACTATAGCGTCTTTCCAATCCCTAGGTAGTTGAGCGAGTGAAAAGGAGATTGTGGAGGTAACCTGTCAGGGACAGGTATCTTACGAGGTTTGAGGTCGGTGATCAATGGAAAAACACTTTTCTCAGTCGCATGTACAGATCCTACTGCTGGCATATTGGTGTAATTGGGACAAGTATTCGCAACAAAATACGCAAAGCAAACTTAACCAAAATAGTTTGAGAAAGTCTCAGCTTTTGCCAGATCTGATTCGGTTAGTAAATCTGAATTTTTGTGCAGTAATAAGGGAGGGATACCATCACTACCTTTTGTTCGCCGTTTAACGTACGAAAGCAGTCGTTTCGGACAAGCACGGCTACCATGTGCCTGCTGTCTTTCGTAAATAATGCGGCGCTTGGTTATGATTCTTTTGCATATATTTCGGATTTTGCGGTATGCACACTTAAATTATTCGCGTCCTTTTGAAGAGAATAAATCCCAGAAATGTTTCCCACACTTCAACAGCCTCCAGGTTCCCTTGATAATCCACGGAGGACAATGTGATAGCTTACGTGTTGACCATGGGATTATCGGTGATGTTGCGGACCGGAATGAAGCCTTAAACGTATTCCAATCGTCTTCGATCGATCCATCCTCATCGACCGACCAGTCAGTCGAGATAGCAAAGTCTCTGATTGCCGGAATATTAGCTCATCAGATATTGGGACGGGGTGAAGCAGATACAAATTGCATGCCGTGTGTCCGAAACTTAAACTGAGATACAACGTGATCACTATTCCTTAATGGAGAAGTTGCCTAATTTCTATGACATTCTCACAGTGGTGTGTAAGGACGAGGTCCAGCAATGGCGAGTCATGTTCCAAGTAAATAGGTATCGGTTTCGCTGTACACTGTAAAAGTGCACACTAAACAATGGTTGATCAAAGGTCACTATCGGAACCCCACCTAAAGTTTTAAGTTCTATCCAGTTGATATGTGGTGCATTGAAGTCTCAAGTGATGAAACAACATTGTGCCTTACCCGAAGAACAGATGTGTCCTAAGAGAAAGTCGTCAGCAAGACAACATGGACTACAGTATATTCCTTCTATATTCACTAACTCCTTTATAGACTTAATCCTACAACAGGCTACATCACATGTATCACTAACATAAGCCTCCTATATGATTGATTATATACGAAATTTATCTTTAACATATAATATTATTCCTTTTCCCTTGCGACTTGAAATTTATCACTTCTGATACAGGTGTAACCTGCAATGATGAGATGGCAGTATATATACAGTGAGTCAAGTTTCTATGACATCAATTATATTGAGACATAATTCATCAGACGTTTTATTTCGAAGACTACAGGCGTTCGTGTAGTACACATTTTAGGTCCTTTGCGAATGATTCATTCTACACATACAGGTCTCGGTAATGATATTTACCCCTGAAATTTTTCCAGGCAGTGCATTTTTGATGACAGGTTCCACTAACTCCAGGTCGTGTGCATGTCTCCCAGCAAGATGATTGTCTTCCGACTTCTCTAGATTCGAAATAATTAAACTAGAGACGAGTTTTTCTTCTTTGAAGGTCGTGTCCACGGCTTTCAGCTATGATATCAGATGCCGCTTTTTAACCGCTTACATATTAGCTTTAGTTTTTATTGTGACAGATTGGTGGGGTTGAACGAATGACTCACAACAATGTTTGATGAAGCCAAACTGTTTCCGTCTATAATAGGGTTAACTATTGCCTTACTTTAGGACTTTGGCGGAGAAGTCTGTAACGCAAAATGTTAGTCCACCAAGAAATTTTCAGCCAAACGGGGGATATTTTTACTGTCTTTCATTCTGTTCTATGTTTCCGTGTCATCCATTTACCATTAGTTGCACCATTCGCAATGGAACTACTCGGAATGATAATAGTTTTTTCTGAGTCGTCACTTGCTACTCTAGTAACTTGACCTCGAATATCCAATGATGTGTCGGCCATTACTTGTTTTGGTATAAAAAGCTATATTGCGTATTGCACAGTCGGGTGCCTGGCACATGCTGTAACAGCACCTACGGCACTGACGCATTCATCGCTATCATACGGATGTTACCAGTATAGACATCATCAAACTTTCTGTTAGCCAACACCAGAAGGCTAACTGTCTCTTGGAAGAGAGATGTTTTCTCCAGACGATAAAACACACAGAACCGATGAAAGCTAGGCTTTGAGCACATTTTATAGGCATTAGGACTTAAGCGGGTACACATCATATGGAACCTCTTCTTATGCTCATCACATTGCATTCGTTCTTCTACAAGGAATAAGCAATAGTACTGTCCACATTTGTGATCACAGCCGATCAACTCAAAGGTTAACAAAATATGATAACACAAAACCGCATAGATAAAAACTCACAAACACTGACCGATTAAATGATTTCAAATTCGACTGAGTATGCTTTGATGTAACAAATACACGAAAGATAAATCAAAACACAAAAGTGCAATAAGAATTAAACGGAAATAAACACATTTAAAGTGATAACATTAATAACAAAGATTAAATCAGTTCAATTAGCACAACGAAAAATAATACCATAGTCCTTTAAATTGCGCAATTAATAATTAAATATGACAATAATTCAACACTAAAAATTCATCAGTTTCAAGGTATAGCAGAAATTCAACAGATGAAATTGTGTCCCAGACTAATTTAAGAGCTTCTAAATTCTCCAAAATTAATCCTTATGTAATGCAGATACCTGTGTGTATTCGTAGAATTCTTGCATCATCCTTTCGTGTTTCCATGACCAACAATCTCACTGCGTAGATGTGATTGTGTGAGGAAACATTTACTCTCGAGTCGAACTATTAAGGCAATAGTGAATTGAATATTCAACCTAGTTACTCAGTATGATCAATATTTAGCCACATCATCTACTATTCGAACACTTTACTTCTATCTGAAGTTTGAGCTAATGATGTCGTTCAGAAGAAAGATGAAAGCTCCACAACCAAACCATCCAGCTCAGAGAACCAAATTCCATCAACATCAAATCTTGTTTATTTATTCTGCAACCCATCTTACTAGTCATTCAGTCAGCTACAATGTAAGATCAGGCACATATATGCATCGGTCCAAGTTACCATACCTCATTAGCACAACAAGATGAACATCATATTTGTAGAAGTAGTTAATTCAATGGTGATAATATATAAAGGAAAGATTGTTTATAACGATACAGTACAGGAAAAAAGAATTATTTGGTAGAAAGAAGAAATATAAATCAATTTTAATCTCAAGGGAAGATAGAGTGTATACACCGACACAACCGTGATCAATTCTGAGCCATGTCGCCTAGAGTCTTCAACCATTGGTTACGATAGTCACGCGGAATTCAACCCATCCATCTTATCAGTTCTTTTGAATTCCAGGAATTTTATGCATACCATTCTTTACCTCTAACATTATTACATAATTCGTCTTATTTATCTCTGAACTTCATTCAATTATTACATCACCAACCCTTCATGATTTGTTTCTTTGTTTCTAACACCAAACGACTTCCGATCTGCTCTTGCACACGCACACACATATAGTGATAATTGATAACCTTTGTTATTTCAATTCATTTGATTCACGTATGCCAATTGTTTTACGTTATAACTTACCTCAATGTAAACTTTTAACACGTATTTGGTTGTAAGCAGCAGATCAGAAACCACAATATGGCATGGAATATTAGCATTATTACATTTAATTAATTTAAACAAAGTTCATTAAGGCTTCGAAAAGTTCAGTAAAATTTTATTGTTTCACAGCAACGTTCAAAAACAACATTGATGTTAGTCAACCTTCTTAGATTGTCTACTGATTGGAATGAAAGTATGTTCGACTAGTTTTACCCACAATGATGTTGGCATTAGATTGTATACAAATGCTTTTAACTCATGTGGAAAATAACCAGTAGTTTGTTGTTCAACACCAAACATATCCAATGCATGTTTAGCATAGACTTTAGCAGTTGGTGTGAAATATGTGGCTTCTCTTAAATCGGTCATATTTGTAGATACAAATAATGGATGCATCGTTTGTATGATCACATTCTTTCTATACTTCTCGGCAGCCAGACATCTGGAGAATTGAATGATAAATGCTTTGGTTGAAGGATAAATTGGCAAGTAGGGTGTCACCAAAAAACCTGAACAGGAGGAAATGTTTATGATACCAGGATTAGGTCCCTTCTGTGTTAACATTTTCGGCAGAATGATGCTTGTCATTATTACTGTAGACAAAATGTTACAATGAATGATATTTCGGATTGATTCTTCATTCGGTGAATCGACTTCTCCAGCAAACAACTCAAATGGTAACACCATACCAACATTGTTAACTAAACAAGCTATTGTGGACAATCGGTCAACAGCAGGTCTTATTATTTCATAAACATCATTCTAAACAAAAGAGAATAAAAGATTGGTGGAAGTTGATTAATCGAATGTTTCCTAATTGTTTTAGTGTTGGAATAACTCGATCAAATTTCAAAAATGTCATTAAATTCTGATGTGTTGAGATGGTGAACTGTAGATGAATCTGAGACATGATGTCTACAATGTTTCTCAATATCTAACGCAATATCTACAATGACTCGTCAGCTGACTATGAATGAAATACTGCATAGAACGTGTGACAGTGTAAATGCACACACACACATGTAAATATATACACACATTCACTTAGTCGTCTCGAATTTGTGGTGTTTGTGAAATCTAATAAACAGTTGTGAAATATCAGTGAAATGTTTTTGATATGAAACTGACATATCTCATGCACGTGAATCACAGAAATACTTTTCGTGAAAAGAATGTTTGCAATCGCGTTTCTACATTCAAACACATGTCATGATTGATGACCATTTTGACATGATCACATGACTCAAGTCTCAGCAATAACTCGACAAACAATCCATCACTTCATGAATAAGGCGACTAGTGATGCATAACTCCTGTCAATCTATTCAAACACTACCGACCGATAAATCAAACTGATCACTTAATTCAATGACAATGATTTCAACGTAATATAATTAACAGATTAATTGAGAATAGATATTACTTTTGTAAAATCTGCAACCACAATTCGTGTTTGAACATTGTAGGTATTCGCGATTTGTTTAGCGACGAGTGACAGATTTCTTTCATCATTACTGATAAGCATGATGTTGAGACCCTCTTTGGCCAATTCCTCTGCATACGCTTCACCAATACCTGATGATGCACCAGTGACAACTGCCCATTCACCAGCCTGACGAAGTGTTTTCCGTTTAGAAAAACACCATATTCCAACAGTGTATTTCAAATAGATCAACAACAACTGTGAAAGTTTGAAACTGATCCAAGTAACGATGAGTGCAGTGAGCAAGAGTAACCGATTCTCTGTGATGAGTTCCACAAAAGACAACGTGCTCTAGATCACGAAAAGATCAAATGATTAGGTGAAATACTGAGATGAACAAAGCGTTCAAATAAATTATGGCGATGTGATTTGTATGCAAATATCATTTGTATTCGAATGTGAATATCGGTTGCAACGTGAATGCAGTATTCACTGTTCACTGGATATCGGATCGATCAGACTTCTCTGACACTTGCCTATTGACGATTCCGTTAAGACTTAACTCAATACAGTAGACCTAGTATAGTTGGCAAGTTTGACGGATTTCGAATAACGTCTGTCATCAGTTGTCTATACTGGTAAACATTTGACCGAACTTCCAAGTACTCGAGATATTTTTAATCACTACCCCTGTCACAAATCTTATATCTCAGGTATTCTCACTTCCAATGACTCATGAACAATTACACTGTACTAGATGGTGATGACTCTTTTGAGATTTGTTTGCACAACGGAGGAAACGATGTTCAAACAAACTGGCACTAATGTTGACGATGTATGATTCCCTAACATTATGTGAAAACAGGTTGCCAAGTACGTGAGAACCGTTATGATCTGAAATTTCATCAATATGATGTTTCACATTTAGTAGGATTTCATTAGTTTGAATCACTTTTCACTATATAACTTAATATTTATTATGTCACAGATATCGGTTTACAGTTCGATGAAAGTGGGAACGATGGATTATTATTTTCATGATTAACTTACCCTCACTTCAGTAAAAATACGCATATCAAGTTGGCTCAAATAAATCCTCTCACATTGTTTTTTAAATGGTTCCAAGTATTATCAAGGTTTCGCATGCTTTGAAACTCTGGATGTACGGGAGGCCGTTTCCAGTTGGTATGAAGCTCGTCCACATTGCTCATTCACGAACACACATCCGAGAATCGAACTCAGAAAACTCGGTCTTGGAAACAATAGCTGAACGTCCTAATCAACGAGTCAGCATTCAATGGTGTATAAACCTGATCTTAAACAATCCGTGGTATTATATGGCAGTTACAAAATGGCTTTCAACACAACATCCCACACTGTTGAACTATTCCTATCAAATCCAACTCGATATTTGAAGTGAATGTCTGGTGAACTTTCATTTTCAAAGCTGAGTGGATTGGTCATGAATCTTAACTAACATCAATAATACAAATGTATAATATCAAACGTGAATAAACAATATTCAAATATCAGCAAGGGTTGTTGCGCATGTCATAGTTATTTCAATAGTTGAGATCATGTGTATGTCGCTAAATTTCGTGGATTAGTTGAACTTAAACACTATCACTATTGGATGCCATCTTAGTTGTCTAAAAGTTAAGTGTTCGTCTTCGAGACTGACAGGTCCAGGGTTCAAATCACGCGAGGCAGTATTGTGGATACTTACTACTGAGGAATCCCATATTACAACGAAACGGCCATTCAGTGCTTCCGGCATTTCCATGCTGATCTAGCTTCAATTGACTCATGATCTCAACTATTGAAATATTCAAATAGTTGATCATTAAATGAATAATCAACAATGATTCACATACCATTTTCTTCTCGATAATGTATATGTGTGCAAATGATGTTGTTAACCATGTCACCAGTTATATACTCAATACAGAAACAGACATGAATTGTCGAAAATCACGATTGGTGACTTCAACATTGGATCGATAAAACAAATTGCATCACATTTGTTTTTGTGTACATGTTTCATTCACTGTTTAATGTTCCACTCATTCCATATGATACATTGTAACTTATCATGTGTAATGTACATTATGTTCCAGGGTTAATGGTTTATTGCAGAATTCAAATTCATTGGTCAAAATTCGATGTCATATGATTCAGAAGAGAATCAATATTTTAGTTGTTGCCACTGTATAATCAAGTATGGATATTGGCTTGCAGTGAAATCCAGAACGCTCGTTTTGTTCTATTTGGAACTGTTCAGCCGAATATACCCATATCTCAGGTCTCGTTCATGTTCATTCTGGGAATCGAACTCAGTACCGTTCACTTCAAACAGTATCGCATTATTCACTTAACTGCTGTATCCTGATAGCCACATGGTTGTGCAATGGGATGAAGTTTAAATTCACTCGGTTTTGTTAGCTTGCATCTTTCTATTATATCCTAGTGAAGATTTAATAACGAGTAATTTCCGGGAACTTTTATTGAATTAATATTATATACTTATGTATATTGTTATTGTATAGCTATTCAGTAACTAGATTTCTTATATCTTCAATCAAAACACGAAGTTCAGCAAAGAGATCTCTTCTCAACGAATTTATTATCAGGCTGTACAATCGTATATATATGAAATTTATTTTTCTTTTTGTAATAGTACTAATTCCATGATGAAATTTGAACACAGTTAACCATGACATAATAAAAAATGGTTATAATATTAGAATATGTAATACAAATAATAACAATAGATTTAGTGGATAATATTTTTTGTTATAGCAATTAAAGATCATAGAGGTGTAAATCTTGGATACGTGAACATATTCCAGCTTTGTTCTATAAGGATGAAAGGAAAACAGTTAGGAGTTCTTTACTTGAACACCTAATCGACTGTAACCATTCTACAGATCCATAAATTGATTTTAAGGATGGTTATATGATTCGTTCAAATCTACCCACATTTCTTCGTATCCAACTATTTATTAACAGCTTCTTCTTTGCCCCCAAATGCCCTAATATAGCCGACAGTGGGGTGGGTTCGCCCTTCCTCTCGAAATACTCTCCCATGGCCACGCATATACAGCCTCTGACAGGAAATTCCTACTCTTTACTCTTCTCGTGGCGGGGGTGTTGTTAAGAAAATGAGAAGACGAAAACCGAATGTCCGGCGCTATAACCGGATCCCAACTCAATGGTGCACATGGGCCCCAGTATCCTGCCTGAGGGAATAAATGGCGTATGAACCAATCGTTGGTCACCGGCTACTATATGACTGCATCTCCTCACGATGCTCCACTGCCCTGTGGACTAGACCTTTTAGGTCGAAGGCTCGGGGTGTGGCCCCCTAAGAAAACCACCTGCTTCGGTTTGGGCACCCGGGCAGTATCCCATCCCACGCACTAAAACATGATGAACTATTTACTTATGGAAAATATTCTTTTCCCTCCGATTTATATTGAAATGACTCTATTATTATCATTATTATTATTATTGTTATTTTGCCACGTCATTTATTCACTCTCTCTTATTCCTACTTTATGTATCCGTTTCGACTTAGACAGCAGCGCGCCTGTGGTGAAAATTCGGCTCTATCTAAACGTTCTCGAGTCACTGACTGGTTGAAAATTGTATGTTACCACCGAATACGAGTACTGATGCAGTTTTTCTGAAACCACGTGCACCATTCAAACTGGCTGTCTTCAATGTTCTCACACTTATGCAGGTCGGACAACAGATAGGGCTGGCTATGTCTTTGGAAAGTCTTAATATTGACGTTTGTTGTCTATCCGAGACTCGTATTCAAGACTCTGGTGAAGTACTACAAGTTCGCTCTCCATCTATCGCTTCGAAAAGCTTGTTTTATGTGCGTTTATCCGGGGACCCTTTGGCATTTTCGCACTAAGCGCTAGAGCTGAGGCAGCACTAGTCGACTGGATCCCCATTAACAGTCGGTTATGTGCTGTCAGATTAGAAAGTTACATCAAAGTGAGAAGAAACCGGCGTGATAAGCGGTGTCTTTTCGTCATCTCCGCCTATGCCCCGACAGATTGCAGCTCAGATGCAACCAAGGATGAGTTCTGCCACCAGTTAACTGTTCTTCTCCAGAAAGTGCGTTCGACAGATATTGTAGTACTAGCCGGAGACTTGAATGCTCAGGTTGGGCGTCTAGGCACAGAAGAGAGTCGTTCAGGTGGCCAATTGGGACTTGTTTGTCGTAGGACAGATAACGGAGAACATCTACTGCAGCTATGCTCAAACCACAACCTGTCTCTGGCTAGCACTAACTTTCGGCACAGTCATCGTCGATGTGCCACCTGGC